CTGCCACCCCGCCGCCACATCTGATCTGTCTGACCTATCTACATCGGCCACCCACATAAGGATTGATTCGGAGCTCCATGCGAAGATCAGAGGTATGGCTAATAATCAGGGGAGGGGCAGAGGAAGAGGTATGGAAGGAAACACTAGAAACAAGATAGTAGATCCTGCACCCACAGGTACGTGGGTCCACTTGCCGCCATGGTTCCTAGGAGCCTACTTCCCTCCTCCCCCACAGATGAATCAGTGGCGAGGAGGGCCTAGGGCATGGGGGGAAACCAACAGTAGGAACAAGGAGCTTCTGATTGTTTTGTGGAGCAACACCACAAAGGAGGCCAGGGGAACCAAAAACTGGGAAAGCAGAATACCAAAACACTGGTCAAAAGTTGCAGAATCAGGGCAAGGAGCAGAGTGGAAATACATGATTTAATATCAATCAACAGAAGAAGGGGGGAATACATGAAAAAAGAAGTAGCCTTTCCCTAAGCCAGATGAAGTAGCAGCTACTGAATATGCTGATGTGATTTGCTATAGTTGTGGAGAGCTCGGACATCACAAGATAAACTGCACCAATCCCCCGGTGTGTTTTATTTGCAAGGTGGTGACATATAAGGTGGAAGAATGCCCAGTGAGAAGGAAACCAAGGAGTCTAGCTAAATTTGTTGGCAGTGGAGCCCCTGACCTAGGATACCACCAAATTGATATACTAGATGTGAATGATCAACACATAGGGGCAAGGAGGAATGTTGGCTTGGTCTATGTGGAGTCAGGACAAGTCAACAAGCAGGAATTAGGACACAATTTCTCTCTGATATAAAAGACAAACTAGCCTTGGCAGATCAAAAAACTAGATGAATGGACATTCCTAGTGAAGTTCCCTCCTCACATACCAGTAGAAAGTGTTGCTAGATACCCACAGTTTGGCCTTCCTGAAATGGAAGGGGTCGCTTTGAATGTAGAGGTCTGGAAAGGAATTTTGGAACACTATAGTGAACTCCAAAAAGTATGGCTTCAATTGGAAGGGATAGGCCCAGCCTGGGCTAAATTGGTTATCCTGGAACAATTTGCATCAGTTTTGGGACTCTGGTTGATGTGGATTGACTTGGAAACTTCAAGTCCTTCTTTGAAACTGTCAGAATCAAGATCAGATGTGAAGACCATACAAAAATCCCCCCTGATAGACTATTTAGAATTGGGGACCACCTTATCAGGATAAAAAATACTGAGGAACCACCTATGCAGGAGGTAGACATAGGGGGACCCATATATGAGGATGTAGAGGACAACAACACTGAAGCTAACCTGGACAAGAACAAAAAGGATGAGGGAAAAACCACCAAGGAAAAATAGACAACTGTGACAGGATCACCACAATCCTTGCAAGGCAGCAAATCTACTAGTGGCAAATCAAACCAAAGCTCTAAACAGTTGGTGCTCAATTATCTGCAATAGCTGCAAGAGCACATCACCATAGGGAAAAGCTACAATCTCCCTCAAGAAATGGAAATGATGGATGATGAGGATGAGATGGAAAACATTCTCTCTGTGGAGGAAAACATAGCTGAGGAAGAGGAGGTGATTTTCAGCCAAATAAGTCGACGCCACCACTATTTGAAAAAAAGTAGTGCTGGCGTGGGTTGAAAATGGCGCGCCACAACAAAAATTGTGGCTAACACTTTTTCCACTGGTGATACTGGTATCCTCTTGAGTCATTCTCATGCTCACTATACCGGTGTCAACATTACTGGTTTTGTTCTTCTTTCTCGTTGACATGTTCCGGCACCTCCGTGACATAGTCACCTGTGTCTGGCCAGACTGTGATGGATGTCATCACACTGAGAGGGTCCTAAGAATATCTCTCCATCGTCGGAGGAACAAATCCCACTCTTGAGCTATCTAGCCCCTTGTCATACTTTTCGGCGCACCTGGAAGTTGTTGTTATGATCATCGTGTTACACAGATGACGTTTGAGCAACCCCAGAGTCCATTGTCCGGTAAGAAGTGATTACGGTACTATCATGGTCTATGGAACTAAAGCATACATTAACTTTCCATGTTATATCGATTGACTTGTGACGATTGCATCTCAAAGTATAACAAACAAGTTGGGTCAATTCAATATGATTGTTCTTTTAATATCATACTCTCAATGTTGTTTGCGACTATCGTTATACTTAATGATATCTCAAAATCCAAAAAACATGATAAAAATACAGCCCTTGAGCTAGTCCTACACGTGAGACTGGGAATCAGATATTAGCGTATATCATTCCACGCATGCTAATGAGTTTTTCCGCCGAATCGCATATTTCAGAATCATAACTGTTATAGCACGTAATATAAACTCTTAATTATAAAACTGAAAATAAATAATACAATATTATTTCATCTAGGACATATTTTCAACAGTATTAGTAACACCCTACGAATTTACCTATACACTACAAACAGTCCAAGTTTCAGATAGGCGCACCTAACTTGGGCTGGCACAGTGGAAACTAGGCTACTTCCTGTGTAAACTAATATAAAAGCGTTTAGATCACTACTCCGTCCGTCCGAGAATACTTGTCATCAAAAAGATAAAAATATATGTTTTCTAGACTAAAATATGTCTAGATACATCCCTTTTATTCATTTTGATGACAAGTATTTTCCGACGGAGGGAGTATCTGAGTATTCTAAATGCTCTTATATTAGTGGTTAGCTTTTGTGCTATAACGCTATTCTAAATGCTCTTATATTAGTAGTATTCTAAATACTCTATTCCATGTGGAAACCGTAGATTTTGTGCTATAACGCTCACACGGACCAACACATGTAGCTCTCGCTTAGCTAGCTTGGTTAGCTTTTTTTCCCCGCTAGCTCCACTATTAGCTCAGGAAAAAAAGCGGGTTATCTTTTTATTTGAAATACTTGTTAAATCAAAAGGTGAACATGGATTTTAAAAAATGTGGAGAATTAAATAAAATCTTAATTTTCAAAAAATGTCATGAATTTTATATAGTTTCATGGATTTCAAACAAAGTTCACAAATTTGAAAAAAGATTTGCAAATTTAAAATTTTCACAAAGTAAAAAATGTCTATGAGTATTTTAAAACATTCATGAATTTGAAAAATATTAATGCATTTGAAAAATGATCATGATTTATGAAAAATGCATGAATTAAAATGTGAAAAGGAAGAAGAAAATATATAAAAATAACAAAAAAAAGAAAATGGGGAAAATTAGTAAGGAACAATATTAAAAGTGATAGAGAAAACACGGAAAGAATAAAAAACTGAATACCAGACAATACTATCCATAAGCTTTTCAAACAAGGAATAACAGTTCACGTATTACGGTAGATAGATGTGCGTTACTCCCAATCAGACACACCCTCTTACTGGCGAGGCTCATGATGATCCCACTGGCCTCAATGCTCCAGACGGCTTCAAATTAAGAGAGCCTAATATCTTAATAGATAAGTGTGTAGTAGTTTCTGGCTTATTGATGGCTCATGTTATACACGTGCATGTTAGTGGCAGAGATAAATCTTGGCCTCTCCACCAACGCATCACGGGGCAGCTGGGACGTCTGCCTCGCCAGCTCCACCGACGCAGCTGGGACGTCTCCTAGCTTCGCTAGCTCCACGGACGTAGCTGGGATGTCTCCTTCGCCAGCTGGGACATTTATTGACACCATACAAATGTAGATGTTTACATACATGTACATACCCTCCTACCTCTATTCGAGATCTCATACCGAACAAGCATCACCGGAGAGCCTGAAACAAATCCAGAAAAGGAAACGATGAGCATGCTGTTCCACCACAAATAATCTAATCATCCGAGCCATAATTTCTTGTTTAACAGCTGGGGCTCTCACTTGCATTAATTAATTTATTTGATCCGGAATATAATTAAGGTCATCTTGCAGAATTTATGTTTCAACTAGTAATATTGAGCGCCTCATAATTAAATTTGCGTGCGTTTTTACAATAGACAAGGTTTAGGGCGGATTGCATTTATTTCTAGTAGCTAAGTAGTACTATAATGTACTATTCCTATATGCATGCGTAATGTGAATGCTATTTTTTAGCCCATCCCACAGTCAATAGATAACCACCTAGGTCCCAGAGATTTTTGCAAGTGCGCCTTCTAAACCGTGACGGAGGAAGTAGTAATATTGAGCGCCTCATAATTAATTCTTTTTTGGGCACTAGCACACGTACGTACGTACGTATATAGAAGGACGTGTCGGCTACAGCCAGAACAGCTACACTAGTAGAGTAAAATAAAAGTGGGCAGCATGAGCATGAGCATGATGCCATTGTCCACGGATGCCTGCGCCACCGCTATTGGCGAGCTTGACATCACCTCGCTTCCACTGGAGACGCGGTTCCCGCCGTTCCGTCTGAGGCAGTACGGCGGGTTCTGGCTGCTGGAGAAGTTCCTCCAGGGCGTTCCGGCCGTCCACTCCATCTTCGAGCCAAGGCCGTCGGACGTCCTCCTCGCCAGCTTCCCCAAGTGCGGCACCACCTGGCTCAAGGCCCTCGCCTTCGCCACGCGCAACCGGGCCGAGCACCCGCTGCGTGGCCTCGACCACCCGCTCCGCCGCCGCAACCCCCATGACATCGTCCAGTACTTGGAGCTGCAGTACGCGCAATCCATGGGCCACGTGGTGGCGGCGCTCCCTTCGCCACGCGTGCTCTCGACACACCTGCCATACTCCCTCCTGCCAGGGCGCATCACTGCGGAGGAGTCCGGCTGCAGGATCGTCTACATCTGCCGGGACCCCAAGGACGCATTCGTCTCCTCGTGGTTCTTCACCAAGAAGACAGTGGCGGCCGCCGCTGCGAGAGCACGAACCGGCGAGGAGCCGCTGCCGTACACGTTCGAGGAGGCCTTCGAGCTGTTCTGTGATGGCATATGTGTCAGTGGCCCGCAGTGGCGCCACGTGCTGGGGTACTGGGAGGCGAGCAGGAGGCAGCCTGAGAAGGTGCTCTTCCTCCGGTACGAGGAGATGCTTCGGAACCCTGAGAGCAACGTGAAGAAGCTGGCGGAGTTCATGGGGTGCGCCTTCTCCGTCCAGGAGGAGGCAACCGGGGTCGTGCAGGACATCGTGGAGCTGTGCAGCCTCGAGAGTCTCAAGAACATGGACGTGAACAAGAGTGGCAGCCATGGTCCATTGGCGCACGAGTCCTTCTTCAGGAAGGGTGTGCCCGGGGACTGGAGCAACCACATCACTCCGGCCATGGCGGAGAGGCTGGATAAGATCGTCGAGGACGCGCTGCAAGGCTCGGGATTCACCTTTGACGTCAGAGAGGCGTCTGCATGAACGCGCGTTTTCTGCTTTTTAATTCTGTGTGTATGCATGCACTGCTGTGAAGTGCCCACGCAGCATGGACGATCTCCTCATCCCTTTGTTACTCCTAGTAAGTGTGGCACGTTCGTGTGAAGGAGTTGTCGGATGGCGCCATGCGACCAGATCACGACGGGCTACTCTTTTGGTTGTAACGAGAATAAGGGAATGCAAGGAAATATAAAAAATATGAAAAAGTATCTACATTTGCCATGTGACTACGATGCAATTACAAAATTGCCATGCTCTAGAGTACATAAATGACTAAATTTGCCATCCTTTCCTAGAATAGAAATGGACATGACGGAAAATATTAAGACTTACCATGCGACTACGGCGCAATTGCAAAATTTCCATGCTGTATATTAAACAAAAATGACTGAATTTTCCATCCTACACATAATAAAATACCATAGAGTAATTATCAAAATTGACATGGTGTATTTAAGAAAAAAAAATACCAATGTCAATTTCGTAAAATTTCCATGGTTTTAGAAAAATAAATTATGCCCCGACCCACCTTAATCGGGCCTGGCATGGCACGGCTCGTTGTGACACGATTATTAGCCGGGTCGTGTTGTGCCAGCCCACGTGCTATGTCCTCCGGCTATACCTGGACGTGAGCCAACTCGAGCCAGCTCGGGCCGAGCCTGCCAAAAGCTCGCCGTTCCTCGGGCTGAGTCGAGCCAAGCTCAATGCTCCGGCGAGCCTCAAAACGGAGCTCGACCCGGGCTTTGCCCTAGCTCGGTGCAGCATGGCAGGCTCGCCAAGCCTGCGTGCTCCAAGTCACTGCCATGTGGGAGCGCGTTGAGTGCGCATGGAGTTAGCTGGTAGTTAGATCGTGGGCTCGTTCCCTGCATGCTAGGTCGTGTGGGTCATTCAGTTAGTGGCTAGCATGACGGGCCGGCTATGCATGCGTGAGTCTGCTACTTAAGAGTTGTACCATGTTTGCTTGACAGTGCCAGGAGAATAGAAGTGAGAAAAGGCCACCAAAAATATCTGCTTGTACTCCTTCGTCTACCTCCAGGCTCCAGCCATCCGTGTGAGAGAGCGGTTCCAACACAGAGCACGGCCGCGACGATGAAGGGAGCGAGCAAGTGGTCGACTCCATCGACAGCGGTGGCGAGCAGGAAGAGAACGCCGACAAGGTGAAGGACGAAGGGCGGACGAGCGGCAAGCCGGCGTTGGCGTCCGGCATGCTGCTGGCGGCAGCGAGGAAACCCTATGGAGGCTGCTACAGCGACTCTCTCTTTCTCGTATCGTGCGGGCGTGGAGATGTGCATAACTGGACCAAGGCAGCGTACTGCTATGGGCTTGGGCTGCTTGCTAACTTGCTAAGGGATGCACTGGGCTGCTCTGCCGTGCGAGCTTTGGGCTCGCGAGTCAGCCCGAGTCGAGCCTGGCTCGGTTCGAGGTAAAAACGAGCCCAATTGTGCAGCTCGGCTCGGCCTTTTTGTGTTGCGGGCCGAGCCTACGCTAGTAGAAAAGGGGGCATTGGTCCAGGCCGGGTCAGCCCATTAGTCCCGGTTCAATCCAGAACCGGGACCAATGGGGGCATTGGACCCGGTTCGTGAACCCCGGGGGCTGGCCGGGCCATGTGGGCCATTGGTCCCGGTTCATCTGGACCTTTTGGTCCCGGTGGATGAGACGAACCGGGACCAACGGTCCTCGCTCCTGGCCCATCATCATTGGTCCCGGTTGGAGGCCTGAACCGGGACCAAAGGCCGCCCATTAGTCCCAGTTCATACCACCAACCAGGACCAATTAATTGCCTATATATACCCCACGCCCGCGAGCAGAGCACTCTCACTGCTCTGTTTTTCGTGGCCGGCGAGGAGAGAGCTTTGTGGTGCTCTAGCTCACCTCCAATGCACACGAGGTGTTCGATGGAATGCCCGAGCCACACTACTTAAGCTTTCTCCTCTCCAAGCTCGACCTCCAAACTCCGTTTCCTCAATATTTGTCTAGGTTTAGCGGTCCGTCACGTCCCCTCCCCGTCTTCACCGCCGTCGATCGCCGGCGCTGATCTCGTCGCCAGCACCACCGTGGTGAGCCTCTTGTTCTTACCTTCTTTCTGAAAGGAAAAAAAAATGTTACTTGTATGTTTATATAGATACTTGTATAATTTTCTTACTTTTATTATTGCATCTTATATAGTGCAATGGTTTTGGTATCCGCCTCCGTCGGCCCTCATCATGTCTATGATTCGGATGTGGTATATATTATCTTTTCATAACTATTGGTTCATCTATTGTTTATGACAATTATGCCGACCAACGTGACATAGATTTTATTTATCTAGGAGGTTGTTAAACCGGAAATTCCAACCGACCCTATTGTCGAGAGGTTTAATTTAGTAGAAGAAGAAAACAATTTCTTGAAGGAAAAATTAGAAAAATTGAGGAGGAGAAGATGATATTGGAGTTGCATGTTGTGGATGTCGTGGATGATCACAAGATCATGATGGATGCAATGCGCTTGAAGATTAGAAAGATTAGAAAATATGCCATTCATACCGAGGCTTGGTATCATTACGCTGTTGGATCAGTTGTTACATTGTTGCGAATATTATCGCATTTGTTTTCGCATTGAAATGTTTTACACAGTTTCAATGTATGGTTTAATTAATTTAGATGCTCTGCAGAGCTTTATGTTGTTAGGTGAGAACTATGTATGTATTTTGGTTTTAATGTGATGATGAATTTCTATTAATTTGGTCACTTAATTATCTATTCATGATGTTCTGTAATGATTTTTGACACACTTAATTATATATAATGCACGCAGATGAACCGGCAATGGATGTACGGTTCAAGACACACCTCCGAGTACATTAAGGGCGTGCATGAATTTCTCGAAGTGGCTGAGGCAAACAAGCAGAATGGTTTTATGTGTTGTCCACGCCCTATATGTGGGAATATGAAGTCTTACTCTGACCGAAAAATCCTTCACACTCACCTGCTTTACAAGGATTTCATGTCACACTATAATGTTTACGAGGCACGGAGAAATAGGGGTTATGATGGAAGACGGTGAAGAAGAAAAGTACGATGACAACTATGTGCCCCCTGAATACGGTGATGCTACTGAAGATCAAGAGGAACCAAACGATGTGCACGATGATGCTGCAACAGGCGAAGCTGCTGAAGATCAAGAGGAACCAGACGATGTGCCCGATGATGATGATCTCCGCCGGGTCATTGTCGCTGCAAGGACACAATGCGAAAGTCAAAAGGAGAAGCTGAAGTTCGATCGCATGTTAGAGGACCACAAAAAAGGGTTGTACCCCAATTGCGAAGATGGCAACACAAAGCTCGGTACCGTACTGGAATTGCTGCAGTGGAAGGCAGAGAATGCTGTGCCTGACAAAGGATTTGAGAAGCTACTGAAAATATTGAAGAAGAAGCTTCCAAAGTGTAACGAATTGCCCGACAGTACATACGCAACAAAGAAGGTCGTATGCCCTCTAGGATTGGAGGTGCAGAAGATACATGCATGCCCTAATGACTGCATCCTCTACCGCGGTGCGTACAAGGATCTGAACGCATGCCCGGTATGCGGTGCATTACGGTATAAGATCAGACGAGATGACCCTGGTGATGTTGACGGCGAGCCCCCCAGGAAGAGGGTTCCTGCGAAGGTGATGTGGTATGCTCCTATAATACCATGGTTGAAACGTCTGTTCAGAAACGGAGAGCATGCCAAGTTGATGCGATGGCACAGTGAGGACCGTAAGAAAGACGGGAAGTTGAGAGCACCCGCTGACAGGTCGCAGTGGAGAAAAATCGAGAGAAAGTACTGGGATGAGTTTGCAAGTGACCCAAGGAACGTACGGTTTGCTTTAAGTGCGGATGGCATTAATCCTTTCGGGGAGCAGAGCAGCAATCACAGCACCTGGCCCGTAACTCTATGTATGTATAACCTTCCTCCTTGGATGTGCATGAAGCGGAAGTTCATTATGATGCCAGTTCTCATCCAAGGCCCTAAGTAACCCGGCAACGACATTGATGTGTACCTAAGGCCATTAGTTGAAGAACTTTTACAGCTATGGAATGGAAACGGTGTACGTACGTGAGATGAGCACAAACAGGAGGAATTTCACCTAAAGGCGTTGCTGTTCATGACCATCAATGATTGGCCCGCTCTCAGTAACCATTTAGGACAGACAAACAAGGGATACCACGCATGCACGCACTGTTTACTTGACACCGATAGTATATACCTGGGAAGCTGCAGGAAGAATGTGTACCTGGGCCATCGTCGATTTCTTCCGACCAACCATCAATGTCGAAAGAAAGGCAAGCATTTCAAAGGCGAGGCAGATCACCGGAGGAAGCCCGCCATGCGTACCGGTGATCACGTACTTGCTATGGTCAATGATTTACACGTAATCTTTGGAAAGGGTCCCAGCGGACTAGATGTTCCGAGTGACGCTGGGGGACACGCACCCATGTGGAAGAAGAAATCTATATTTTGGGACCTACCCTATTGGAAAGACCTAGAGGTCCGCTCTTCGATCGACGTGATGCACGTGACGAAGAACCTTTGCGTGAACCTGCTAGGCTTCTTGGGCGTGTATGGGAAGACAAAAGATACAGCTGAGGCACGGGAGGACCTGCAACGTTTGCACGAAAAAGATGGCATTGCCTCCAAAGCAGTATGAAGGTCCTGCCAGCTATGCTCTTACCAAAGAAGAGAAGGAAATCTTCTTTGAATGCCTTCTTAGTATGAAGGTCCCGACTGGCTTCTCGTCGAATATAAAAAGAATAATAAATATGTTAGAGAAAAAGTTTCAGAACCTAAAGTCTCATGACTGCCACGTGATTATGACGCAACTGCTTCTGGTTGCATTGAGGGGCTTCTACCGGAAAACGTCCGATTAGCCATTGTGAAGCTATGTGCATTCCTCAATGCAATCTCTCAGAAGGTGATCGATCCAGAAATCATACGAAGGCTAAGGAGTGATGTGGTGCAAT